GTCGTCGAGTATGGCGTACACCCTTCCTGCTGTTTCCGGCTGCCGTTGTGGGAACACTTTCACCAGGCATATTTGGGAACAGGACCGCGCTGTGAGACTGTTACCACATACTTCAGTGCATTGGGAACTGACCATAGGTGTTGTGGTAGAATTTTCTGCCCGCTTTGCTGTGATGTAGGAAGGGAGGCCTTTGGCAACCACGGGCTGGACCGGGGTGCATAGCAGCATTGCGCTGGTTGCTGTCACATTCGTTGCATTTCACTACTACCTTACAGTCCTTTGCGAGGTGAGACGTGGATGCCAACACTTGAAACAGATACCATTCTCTCTGAGGTAGGATCTCCGTTCTTCGATGGGTTTGGCTCTAAAATCTCTGCATTTCTTGAGTGGGTGTGGCTTGTGGTGGATGGAGCAGCTCTTGTCAGGGCTGTCCTCTTTCTTTGCAGTAGTATCCGCACTTGAGTCGGCTACGATGGAAACATCTGTCTTGTGTACAGATATTGGGGTATTTGTGCGCATGTGTCCTATGGCAGGTCTCTCTCCCCTCACCACAGTACTACTGCTAGCGAAGGCAAAGCTGGGGTCATTTCTTGTTTTAGCCTCAGAACAGATGAACTCTGTGAAGAACGAGAACGGGGGAAAGGATGTTTTGTGATCCTTCTTGTGCCTCGATCCTTCAGTGATCCATCTTTCCTGTAGGCCGTGAGGCAACTTCTCGACTACTGGGTTGATGCCACGGACGGTGTCCAGATAGGCAAGACCTGGTAGGTGCCCGTCTTCCTTTGCACACTGGACTTCCATCAGAAGATCTCCCAGTTCTCTCAGCTTAAGATGATCTCGGGTTGAAATTCTCGGGAAAATTGTCGAGTTTTCGGAGGAGGGCGTTCTCCAAAACTTCTGGTGAAGCGTAGCACTCCTCCAGCCTTTCCCAGGCTTTTTCCAGTGCTACATCTGGGTTGTCTATGCAAACGGAACGGATCCTTCTGACGTGCTGTGACGATTCTTTACCTAGCCACTTTGTCATCAGATCCAGTTCTTCGCTTGCCGTAAGGCCAAGGCCCTTGGTGACATTGGTGAATGATGACTTCCATGCCCTGAAGCTTTCTGGCTTGTCATCAAACTTCACAAGACCAGTGTTCCCAAGTTCACGTCGGGCCAAGTATTCGGGTTCTGGACTCTGCTCAGGCGACTGTTGCTGATCTCGATTCTTGGGCTCGTTGCGTGCTTTAGACTCCGAACGGTATTCGCTGTTTGTTGGCTTAGGGGCTTTGGCCACTGATGATGAATGTAACGGTATCTGATTGGGGGTGGTGAATTAACCCTCATGTTGTCATACACTGGTTCCAGGGACGGCATGGATGAGTACGTTGTGTTCAGTTCGGCTTGCTGCTGTACGTACTGACCAGTGCGTTCTGCGATGAACTTTGGATCGACTGGTGTGCTGTCCTTGATGCAGGATCCCCCGATTTCGGACTCCATTGCTGTCTCCAAGGCCTCGACTTGAGCCAAAGCTGCTACTGCTTCTCGCTGGAAAGTTAGTGCTCCTAACTCAGCTTCCAACTTTGCCTTTTCCAAAGTTATCATAGCATTTCGTTCTGCGCTTTCCATTTTCATCTTTGCTTCTTTCTCGGCAAATGACGCACGGACACGTGCTGCCTCTGCGTTAGCACGGGCCCTGGCTGCTTCACTGACGGCAGAAGAAGATGACCGTGCTCCCTTTGAACTTGTGAGGGATCTCTTGTCATCATAGCTGGCTTCTTCCATGATGATAGTTCACAGTTTACGTATGATGTGGCTGGCTCTAATGCTGTAGTTGCATGTAACGTCTGTTACTGCCTTTTTACTGTACTGCCCTCCTTAAGATGTTTCTAATCTCAATTTGGCTGGCTGCCAAATTGAGATTAGAAACATCTTAAGGAGATGTTTGAACACTTGAAACAGACACTTGAAACAGGTCTTTTTACTTTGTCTGGCGTTTCTTTTGTCATGTCTTGATAACATACAGCAATTAAGGCACAAAGTGGTTTGCCTCTGGAAATTTTGCCTGCTAAAACTTTGTTCAATCTGTTTTCTATGAGACCCGCTTGTTTGGTAGTCAATTGAATGTCTAATTCATTAAATATTTTGCTTGTTTTAGATTTAGGCTTGTGGTAAACAAAATGCTGATTGTATTTACCGCCTACGTTCTCTGCTTCAAAGTCTGTATGAGGGGACAACCTTTTAGAACAATCGAGGCAGAACAAATCCGTTTTCTATTCTTTTGTTCAAGTGTGGGGATTTTTCTTCGATTTTCACATACGCTGGTTTTTAAGCAAACAAAACGAATAAATCTCCTTCATCTGATGGTAAATAACCGTTCATTGTTTTTAAAACGTTTATTTATTTAAGCGACGTAAAATTATCCTCAGTTATCCAAGGACAACCGAGGCTTAAAATAATTCATAAATTTAATCCATCTTTAATTTCACACGTGTGGGCGTTTCTGTTCCGATTCCGATTCTGATTTGTTATTGTCAAATCGTCTAAATGCTTACAATGCCGCTTTATTAGAAATAATGCAGTAATTTCAAATTTTCAACATGGCCGTTGATACCATATACCTAACACTGGCCCGCAAGACAGCAAACCGTGAGTTCCGTAATATACGTCTTTGGGATAAATAAGCGATTGGGCATCACATAGTTTATTTGTAAATTTTTCAATATTCGACGATGTAATGGGTCTCTCTCAGTGGTCAAACAACAAACAAAGCGTAATAATCTGTTTTAACATACATTCGATGTTTGTTTGTATAAGGTGCTTTAACGACGTATTCTACCCGGTTTAAATCTTCGATATTGCGACTGGCTTCATAAGCGGTAATGGTAATCGACGGTACGTTCGACTTTGCAGCAGTTTCAATGAACTCGTAAGCCGCCAAAATTATATCATCGAGTATACGCATCATAGGCTTTTGTAGTTGATAACAAATTTGGCTACCAACGATGTTATCGACAGTTTTATCCCACGTACCTTTTTATACAGGGGATTTATGCCATAACAAGTCGTGTCTGCCATTATAATCAACATGCGCTTTTCTTTGCTGTCGTGATTATAAAAAATAATAGACGAACAGCATTGAGATACACTGGTACCTTCTTTTATCACGGGGTTTGAAATAATCAGTCTGCTGGCATCAAAAGGACCGTATACAACATAGGGGTCGTTATTGCCAGCATTGAGACGTTCGTGGTTTTTGGTTACGATGTAAATTTGGATTGACATGTTTCTGTTTTTATATTTTAGTTGAAAATTTTTCATTTTTTATGGGAAGTTGGGTCTGTTAAATTTTCATGTTGACTATCTACTCTATTTAAATCTTCTATGTCAACGTCATATTCAATTATTAGGCCTTGATCATATAAATTAGCACCCAGCTTAGATTCATCATTAGGCGGTAAATCGTCTTCATCCATTCCATCTAATCCGACGCAATTAACGCAGCAAACGCAATCGTAACACACTCTTTGCGATTGCTGCAAACCAGAACACGCTTCGTAACTATCTGAGGCATTAGAATGTGAACAATCATAAAAATTGAAACAATAAACGCAATGTATGCATTCGACGCATTCGTCACACGTCGAACACTGGGTACATTTCTTACCGTCATTACATTTGTGACAGTCGTGACATTCGTTGCAATCGATGCATTAAAAAAAAACATCAGAATTTAAACAGCGTAAACAATTGATTGCATCTACCACGTTATCAGATTGAACAGTGTCTTTACAAAAGTACCAATTTACGTTGGTTTTTTGGTTTAACATAGCTTTTTCTATTTAACGAAATTTAATATTTTGAAAAATTTCAATCGGTAAGCAAGTCACAGGGAATAAATATTTGCTTCGGTTTATAAACTTTATTTTCGTCTTTGGTTGTTCTCACCAAGCAAATGTGAACTCAGTTGTGCTTCGTCTGATATTTTTTAGACTTTACATTCATTTAAACACTTATTAATTTGAAGTATTAATTTCAATTCAGTCCAGCATGCGGTTTTCAATCGTCACGGTCAAGTTCATGACCTAACGCGTGTCACCCCTTGTACATTGAAGACTGAGTTCAATGAGAAAAAATAATGACATTTTGGCCAACCTCTCTCGGAAAAGGTGCCAATGCGGTTTAAATATGGTCACAAAACATTATTGGAAAGACGAGGCTCGATGTGGGAAAACATGTATTGCAACATTATTGAGGGGAATGTCGAGGGGACCAAACACCCCCCTTTTTGAGTTGAGCCTCCCAACCTCTACGTTCAAGGGCCCACTCAGTATTCTGTGTCTCCAGTTGTCCTCGGGCTTCCTTTAGACAGTCAGATTAAACAGCTAGTTCTAGACCCAGCTTCTTACCCTGACAGATGTATATATTTGGAGGGGCCGCTACCCCCCCTTTTTTGAGGTTGTAGATTTTGAGTTTTTCGTGTACCCTTCTATTGCCTTTCTGAGGGGTCAGGCAACATCAGGAAAAACAAAGATAGCGGACAAAAAGTTGCCCTTCTCTCATGAAAACTTTCCTCAATTTTTTCTTTTGTGGGTTGGTTGGGGGACGTGGCTCCCATTTCCACCCCTGGATCCACCCTTTTGACCTCTGGGGGGTGCTTTTGGAGAAGGTGTTTCACAAATCCCCCGATCGTTCAACTAAAACCCGGGATCACTCGTAAAATTTGATTCCGCGGTTGGTTTGTATTAATTCGAGTACAATTCTACGCATATAAAAATCAACTGTTTTCTTTTTCAGCTCTCCACCCAGTCTTCATCAAGCCATAAACGTGGGTGTAAGTATGAATTTACAGCGTTGATTAATACATGTAACTGGTAAATCGAGCCTTTGTTGGATTGACATATAATCTTTAAATCATCAAACTGACAGCTCGACTTCAAGTGCAGGGGGGGTGTTTTTGTTAGTAATCCTGTGTACATGTATAACGTTACAATGGACAACATGCATAAACCTGTATTGCAGTTACGGCACTACTGTTTATCTGGAAGTACACAGGCAAGCTCCTCATAGAAATTAACATTTCAAGTACGGGAGAAAGATGAAATCGCAATTATTGCAGCGTCTTGACTAATCCACGGTCCTTCGGCAGTAACTCAACTTTTGTAACAGACATTACATATTATTTCGAATATACCTCATACCAGCTTGGTAAAGATTTTTCCAACCGTGCTTTCCTGAATGGGGTCTGAACATGCATCTATTCGTGGATCCAGTCTTAGCTTGCAGCCTTTGGACCAACCGGTGGTATCCCGCATCTTCCAATTTGTTTTGCCAAACGACGATGGGGTGGGCCACAGAAGGGGCATCCGAAAATTCGACATGGCAAATTTGCATTTGTTTTGTTTTCTATTATAGTTTGTCCAGAGAGGAAAAATTCTTTAACAGCCGCTTACTTTCCACTTCACTCTGACCAGTCTTCCGTGAGATCACCCACTTTCTGCTTCCCAACTCAATATACTCTATGTTTCTGAACGAAAGAAAACTTTTACAAAGAGAGGAGAAAGAGTCCACAATGTTCAGGAATATGTTTCCTTTTGAGCAGAAGTATATGTTTCACGTGTGAAATTACAAGCATGAGAAAATTTCATAGTTTTTTTGTTAAAATCTCTGTAGCATTGTATAAAAATTCCTGTTGCTGTTACTCTTCTCTGTTTTTCAGTTGAGTGCATTCCAAAAAATGGAACTGATTGGGAAGTGAGTTGTTGCAGAGACGTAAACAGCGACCCCCATCGTTACTTCGTTTGCGTAGCAGGTGAGGATGTTATAGGAAAAAAAAGAGACCTAAAAGTGGAGACAACCCTATCCATAACCACAGCACTGAGGGTTTGGGTCAACTCATCCCCAGCAGACTTGCCCTTCACCTTTTTCTTCCTTTATCAACTCGCTTGCCGATGTTGTTCACGCTACTTTAACGTCGCGTAATAGCGAGTAAAATTTTAGTAAAATCGGGTACATTGAATTCTTTAATTTCACGTTAACATAGCAATTTGAATATTTCAGTCCAATGTACTCGTCGTACCTAAAGAGTCGCTACTTTTGCAAATTCCTTTCACACCTTTTTCCATTCGCTCAAAACTTGATCAACTGTAGTGCTGCGCGGTTCTGCCGCCAGATTTGTCCTTTTTCGAGGCGCCATTGCTAACAGACGTGTCATTCTGACACCTTCGATTTTCTCGAACTTTTCGTTTCGCTACACCTTTTGCGGTACCTGATCAACTGTAATTTATTTTTTAAAAATTACTGGTCATTGTACTGTGTCGTTTCCCCCCTTATTTGTGCGTCATTCCCTTTCTAAAGGGATTTTTTGTTTATTCTGACGTTTTCTGTTATTGTCGTTGTCCTATCCAACGTAAGACGCTGGCTACCATAACCCGCTAAAGCCTACTTCCAATTCCCCCGGGACGACTTCAGTAGTCAACAACTTCCTCTCCATCCTGGAGTTAGCTACTACATGTGTACCACTAAAGACGAAATCGCTTCTGACTCAGCTATTAGTCATCTGGCAAGAACCCTATCAAAATGTGAATTGAAGTTTGGAGAACACTCTTCTTATATTATTCATATTGCTAGGGTTCTGTATTTTGAATTATACTACTACTCATTTAAGGCCAACCACAGAGTAACAAGTCTGCCTTTGTATATGTCTAGGAGCGTGGCGACTCCCTCTTGCTTTTATCATGTAAATTATCATAAATTACGCAGATGAAATAACGGATCTGATTGGCTTAGCCATTTGGGCTAATGAATATCTTTTCTTCAAAGTTACTTTTGTGTGGAAAACAAAAGATCCATTGATCACATGCAGGACCTTCTTCGCGGTATTCTTCTGGTCGGAAAAACAGAGTCAGTTTGGTCTCTTGCAAGGAGAAAGGCATGAGGAGAGGGCGATTCCTGCCAGCCTCAAGTTAGAGAAAATTTGCTGTCCAGAGCTTCAGGCACTAGCATTATGGATGTTGTGATGTTTTAAATAAGCACGAAACGTCAAGGCTGAGCTACAAAGGACTTAGTTGATGTTGTCAATTTTTAGAGATTAGCCTACGAACCAGGACTGTCAGAGACCTGTAAGTGTTATATAATAATTGTCAGAATTTAGAGTAGAAAGGAATTATTTGATAATTAAGACTCATGTTAGTGCGATAATTTGCTTAAAGACTAAAGCGACTTTCTGCATCAGGCATTTAGTATATGTGGTTATTTACAATCATTCAGTAATAGGGTTCCTCCGTGAGAAACGGGTAAAGGGGAGCTGGATGGGCAAAGTGTGGAGGCCACACCTTGAGCTAGACGTTACCCCCTGGTCAGAACGCCATAGGCCAGAGGGCGTCATCACTATCGAGGAAGACAAGCTGCACGGTGGACCAAACGTCCGCATTAACCAAAAGTTACTATTGAAGGAGCATCCAACCCACTTTTCGTAACTAGTTTTAAGTTTTGGAACAGTGTATATTTTTTCTTAAGAAGGATCCATGAAAATGTTAATAAATGTATATAGCTTGTAAATGTTAAATCAAAGTTGTGCTATTGGAAATCCATTTTGTTGTACTGTGTACGAGACTCTGTCTTTGAGCAGTTCTCGTGGATCTCCTGTTCAGCTCCGTCTACCCGCAGAGCTAATTTTCCTCGCCCCCTCCTCGCCAGTAGCCGGCTCCCAATCGCCTAGCGCGTCAACCAAGACCTCTTCCTATTCAGTGTCTCAAGGACGACAACTCCACTCGCTCCTTTTGTCCCTCCGTACACTAGTCAGGTCCCGCACTGCCCTCCACTTCTCAGCGGCCTGCACAGACAGCGCAGAGGGGAAGCAGATCCAGAGGGAACACCCAGCGCTACTGTCGTCGTCACCGTTTTCTACATATGTAGATTTTGAAGAAAAACTAGAAGTTTTCGGAAAAATTGCCAAAGAGGTTTCTCTTATTTAAAAACTGCAAAACATACCATATGGAACAAGATTACGCAGCAAACCCTCAAACTTTATGATTCTTTGAGAGTTAAACTTTGCCTTAACTAAGTAACTTAAATGAACACAGTGGTTAATTAGCCAACATCAATAAGTAAAGATACGCACCCGTTCGTGAAATCGATAATTTACGTTTTCCTACTCTTCGGCCCTTCTGTTCAGGGTATTTTTCCATAAGTAATGCCCACGCGCACCCATGTTTACGCGAGCGCCATTGTGAACATATCTTTGTGTCTGTTCATGAAAACGAAAATATTATTTGACCTACTTTCTGCCATTCCAGTCAATATGTTTTGCGAGTGTACAAGGAGCAGTAAAATTCGCATTTCTTCGTGAAAACACAAAATGCAGTCATCAATATTTCTGCCCCTAACAACATTGATGTAATCGAAATCAACAAAAGTTCAAGTTTCTAAATGTGTGGCTCTTCGTTAAAACGGTGACGAAATTTGGACGCGTGAAGAGTATCTTACGCATGTTTTTCAATGTGTTCGTCATGCTTTTGAAATTAACTTTTGTCAATTATGTTTTGCCAGCGCACACATCGACGTGCTATTGCCACCGTTCTTCTGTGAATCTCAACTTTAATTTTGGATAATATTTTTAGAACCCCGAAGATTTATTATTTTACTACTAGGGAAACGTTAATGTTTATTTTGGAACAGCCCTGCAGTGTTTTATCACAAGGATAGACCTGACCATATGACAGTCACTGTACGACCATAGTTCTTCCTGCCAACCTTTATCTCATACTTAATCGGAGGAGGAAGGGGGCTACAATGAGAGACTAGATACATGTAATGTCAAAGAATCACAAATCTGACATCCACGGACGCAGGGCGTAATTTGTTTAATTTTATTTAGGCCCTACATTTCAAACAAAACATGTACTGTTTGAGTCGGAGAGGTAACTTCCTGCAGGAACAGAAGAAACGTCGTCACTTGTATCGATCGAAGGTATCTGCAGTTAGATTCTTGCTGTTGTGTTTGCGTTCGTAACACGTTTGAAAAAAGTAAAAGTCGAAATGTTTTTCCCTCAGCTGTATTTTGTTTTTGATTTGTTTCATCCTCAGAGGATAGCGTCAATTCCACCGCACTGTTTGATCTTCTGACATCGAACACTACCGGTACGCTTTGTGACATGAGTGATGCAGATGGACAGGTAAGTCTCAACCTGGGCTTAACGAACTCGTCATAGGCCTATAATTGAAACTTGATAAATATGTTGCTCATATTCTGGTTCATGTAATTAGTTCTTATAATTTCTCGGTTTACTGTTTGTCCCACGGATATGAACGCATAAACTGCCGTGGGCTATCGGCTCGAGGAAGTGCACGTTCGTTGCGCGCATGCGTCATGTGCTTACCTCGAGTACCAACACTCGTTAAATTCGTATTTATATGGATGAACACTACCCTTACTATAATTTATTTGAGTTTCAAAAGCTAATTCGAGCTTCTGTGATAGCTAACAATAATGAAAAGAAACAAATCTGTGTAAAGACACATTTAAACAAAATGCAGTCGTGTGTAACACGCCCAAATCTGGAGCAAACTTCGTGCACGATTTTTGATTAAGTTGGATGCCGTCACCTGCACAAAGTCAAGTTCGTTTTCTTTAAAGCTTACAGTCTTGTGCTTTATGCATGTTTAATTGTTTTCCCTTTTTTGCTCTTTCTGTTGAGAGAGTTTAAGTAAAGATAACGAGACGCAGAATGATGTACCGGTACCCCGTTTGAAACAGAAACCACAAAATACTGGCGGGGAAATCTGTGGTGTTATTTTAGATAACGATGAGTTTAATATAGCCCGTAGGGTAGTTATTCGGTGGACCGATAACTGTGATGCGGGGTTGTGGGGGGGTCAACATGCAAATTTATAAAACTGATGTTGGAATCGTATTTGAGGAACCCCCAAAATATTGAACAAACACAATGGAATATATTCCAATATTCCATTGTGTTTGTTGCCGCTTGACCATGCAGGCATTATTGTTTTCTGTTTGATTGTTCTTAATATGTTTTTTTGAAACATCAAGTCACACAAATAAATCACATGCTTTATTCTTTCCCATTTCCCTTTACCATAAACCACAAGTTTTTAATGAATGAAGACTGATTATCAATTGTTTGCTCTCTTGACACTTGCTTTCCTGTTTCTTTTTGTCTTTTGTTTCATGCCCTTTTCTGTGTAAGTTTTCTAAAGAAGTTGCGCTTTAGCTAAAATACATGAAATCCAGAATAGTACACCACGATTTCCTGCATGGCTTATCACTGTCCGTTGTTCCACTTTGGCGGAATAACTTATAGGCCCTGTAAATCTATAATTGATGGAACTGGCTACAATTAAGCTCAACTTTGTGCAAATATTGGAACTGGCTTATCAGGATCAGGAACATTATGTACATCTTTTATTCCGTTTCGAATGTTCCTTCATGTTTGTTGATTTAAATAACACATTGGGGCAACACATGAAACCTTATTTATCGGCAAAAGTTTATAGGCGCCTTAACAAACTTATTTAGCCTACCGACAGAACCATGAATTGAAGGAATAATCAATTGACCTTGAAGAAACTGCATCAGCGATAAACTGTCTTTCAACATGTTGAAAAAACAGTTTATCGCTGATGCTTAAGGACACTAAATTTAATCTTAATCAAAAAAGGTCGAAAGTATTTTTCAAAAAATGTGGGTATTTTGTTATTTACCACGAAGCCACACTGTGCTCAATTGAAATAACTCTGTGTGTAATGTTCAATTTATACGGTATCAAGTGGTTAATTAAAATTACATTTTGAATAAGCGTAGTTTGTTGTTTCTTTGTAGAGAGGAATTGCAGTGATCCTTTAAAGACATTCTTACAGGTAGTAATTATACATCGGAAAGCACCAAACTCCAAAATCTCAAGTTTTTTGTCTAGTACTTGCTATCGACCCATTAAGAACTCATTAGCAAAAACAATAGTGTGCCTGGCAAAAGGGCGTTAGCGCGCTTACGGCCTTTTGCTGGGTAGCATGATTACTGCAGAAAAATATGATCTCGGCAAAAGGGCATAAGAAACACACTCTCTTTATTTAGTAAAAACGGATAAAATGTACTACAAAATCAACACAGGCTGTACAAAAAGCAACCTCTGAATAACTTGTTAAACGACTTGGGAAATAAAAAAACTTTTTGTAAAGAAATCTTTATATATAATATTAAAATAAAACAGTCACATACATATGTCCTTTTGCCGGAAGAAAGGGTGGTTTTTTTGTTTGTTTGTTTGTTTGTTTGTTTGGGTGTTTGTTTGTTTGTTTGTTTGTTTGTTTGTTTGTTTGTTTTTTAGTTAGTTAGTTAGTTTTTTTTGCAGTGATCATGCTTCCCGGCAAAAGGGCGTGAGCACCTTAACCTTCCAGGCACACGACAAAATTTTATTAGTGGTATATACCTTGAGAAATACTTTGCGTGCAAACTTCAAATATGGTTTGTGGGTTGCTAAGCTTGAAAGGTCAAGGGTTAAGGTCGCAATGGCTATTAAGTAAAACAAGCTTATTTGTGTTCCAGAAGTTAAAGATGCGGGTTTAGGCATGGGTTAAACGGGCATTTGTGTTTGTTAACACATTATTGGTTTCATCTGAGGTACACACATGTATATTGCCGCTGTCGAATCCCCTCATTTATTGCCCTGTCATTTTGTTGTGTTCTCGTCTTCATTACTGTATTACACTAAGATGCAACTTCAACAAGTTTGCCCCGTTGTTCCTTCCTGTGAGCCCCACGAGAACAGGCTTGTCTTTGCCAATGTGTTTCCTTTTATTTTGCAGAGAAAATGTGAGAATGCCTGGGATGTCAACAAAGACATAGATGATCGAGCCCATGAGTTGATAGAGCAGTGTGACAAGAAAACTTCCCGTAAACGTGGTAACCTCAACGTGTCTAATACCGGTAAGCCTTATCGGGATCATGTTATTTAGCGTCAACAAGAGTCAACGAGCGTCAACAAAGTGTCAACAAGTTATTCAAGGATATTTAGGATATGCATTTAAAAAAATATATATACAATATTAATAGGCTCCTGCATATTCAATATATCATTAATATGGGACGTGTATCCAAACTTTTAAACAGGCATTTAACGCCTGCTCACCCAAGCGCGAATAAAATATTGCCGTGTTTGCGTAATACGTGTATCTAAACCTCCATTAGCTGCATTTTAAACGTTATGTCGGAATTTGTGATAACAATATGCTAGAAGATTGGAGCCTTCAACATGATGCACGTTACCCGGTCAAATGATCGACCCGACGTGTCGCGTTGTGACGCCCCAAATCCATAATCCTCAATTTATATCTTCCTTGACACGTATAACCCTGACCGGCAACCCAGCTAACGAACAAAAGCTGATTAAGTATATCGGCTAAGTGAACAACTGTTTCAATCGAATGACCAAACAACTGACCAATGCAGCATTATAATCGCAAACTTCACGTTGGCATGGGCTTCACGTTGGGGGGAATTCACTTTAAATTTCTAAGGACACAGTGTTCCGCTTGTGGCATTTCAAAAATTATACAAATGTTCGTCCTAAGTATAAGAACAACAAATCACATTTACATGTATACCATTTGGCTGTCAATACCAACGAACGTAAGCTTACTTAATGGCATCATAAACTCGTGCCTACTTTCCATTAATTGCGCTATTTCTTGGTATTGCTGTTGTAATAGTAACAGGTCGGTGCCGACATTTAAAATGCTTTTAATGCACTGCTTTTAATTGACGATTGTTATTACGGTACACTCGGTCATTGTCATTTGTGCATTATGGTTCGGTTGAGGCAACACAGACGCTGTGCCTACGACTACTTAAATCTTCAAGATGGGCGCCTTACAACTAATCTTATGTAGTTTAAACTCAGTGAATGCTGTATTCTCCGAGAAAAACAATGTTCCAGGATTTCAATTTCAAATCAGAAGCTGTAGTGATGTATAACCATTATTTTGAATTGCGTCCGACAATTCAGCGGCTGTGACACATTTTCATTCAGCCAATTTACGCAATGTTGCGCACTTACTCTGCACGAGCAGGTACATCGTGAAAATGCTTGTGCACGTTCCGATCCGCTGCTTCAAAGGCCGTGTCCAAAACGGGCTTCCAGAGCTACGGCTAGGTCTAATTGTTACGGGTCTGCAGCCAAACGACATTTCCAAAAATACGCCCATCGTTGGAAATGGCCTCTTGCACTGCTTAATTATCTCACAGAGAGCTTAGTTCTGAAGCTAAGCCCATAACTAAGCCATGCATGCTCTTCAACAATAATTTTATAAGTAACTTTATGGACAGCTGCAAATGTGGGACTGTATCATTAACACACCAAGTTACAAAATACATACCATGTGGTAGAATGTTAAATCAAAATGGTTATGCTACAACAGAAATCAGGCTCAAAAGAAAAATGAGCAAGAAAAAACAACTTCTCTAAAAATAGCACCATCCAGAAACGGTAGGTCGGCATTTTGTGAAAAATATGAATACTGCAAAACTTTAAAAAGTTTGTCTGTCGCCTTGAATAACAGCAAAGGAAAACAAATTACAGAAAAGTTTTGTTCTCAATACGCTAAACGCAGGCTGACAGTGATTAAAAATATGAAAAATTGAAAAAAATCCCAACGCCAAGCTGGACAAACTGAAACTAATACACAAGCAACGCTAAATCACTACTTATTTTCTGGGGGAAGCACATATAGGAAGCACATATAGTTACACAAATTATAATATCAGCAGGAGGGGGCCACTTTTGATGGCTTTTAAGGTGAATCGGTGATTTTTTCGTCCCCTTTCGTGTCTAGTTTTTCATTTCTTTAGCGTTTTTTGCTTTTTGCTCACTTGTCCCATTTTTATTTCAATAATTTTTTCCAGGGGTGATAAATGCCCACAGGAGGCCCATGGGCAAAAATATTACTTTGTATTACTTGGAAGCACGAATATTGACAGCGAGAGAGAAAGCAGGTCAAACATAAAAATAACAGTAATAACATTTCTATTGCGTATACTGTACATGTACATGTAGTTACTATATACATGTGAACAACTGCCTACTTCAGCCATGTTTGGGAAAAATTATAACATTGCCAAATCATCAGCATAAAAGTGCCCAGAAATACCATGATCTTCCATAATTTTAAATAATGGACGACGGTGAAGCAGCAAATGGATTGAGCTAAGCCGGACCTTCACTGCGGAAACATGGGAAAACAGCGCCCAAATTTACAGGTGAGCAAGCAGATAAAGATGTCGTTCATTTCTACAATTTTCCACCTCAGTGTTCGAAACAATGGTTGGCTTCCAGTGCAGTACATGGGTGTCAATCCCGAGGGGTGGAATATATCTCCCCCCCCAAAAAAAAAAATCCCCCCACAATACCCCATTTATTAATCAATCCCCAGCACGGAATAGGCCACAGGTGCAATAAACCTTTTTGACGTGTGCAATAAACCTTTTTGACGTGTGCAATGGGTTTGGATGTCAAACATGCAATGCATTTTATGCTATGGGAGAAGAGCACTTGCAAAACGGTAACCTGTTTTCATTTTATTTCACACTCCAATGCATGCCACCCTCTTCCAGCAAAGTGTTGCATTATTGATTTGGGATGAAGATATTCACAAACGGCAACGTTTAAAGCTTGGCAGAAAAGGAAAATTTGGGAAATCCAACAGTACAAGTTTTTGTTACAGACTATGCTTCGTCTAAGATTGTGAATATTAACGCTATAGTATTGCCCAATAAAAATCACGATATGTAGGTCATTCATTCCACATTGATTAGTCACTTTTTTAGCATGTAGAGTAACTGGTTATCCCCAAAAATACAATAAGGTTGATTTCTTCTTCTTAAAAACATTTGAAAAATTATTCGTTATTTTGGAAATGTTTCTTGTATAATACGCATGCATCTGTGAGGTGATGAGCAGATACACAGAAATATTCGGAAGAAAAGTGTAAATTGATTTCTGACTGGTTCACTTCCCCCGTGCATAGGTTCATGCAAATGATGCATGGCGTATTTGTCACCCAAACATAATGCATCGCTAACGTCAAAAAGATTTTTTTTTTGTTCCATTATACATGCATATACCTTTCAATTATGTTATACTCAGGGCGGGGTTGATGACTGCTGCAAAACTGACAAAGGACTGGCTTTTGGCTTATGATCAGCCAGGATAATCTGCGTGATTGTCAAGCAGCAGTAGGTACAACCCTAATGCCACACATGTTCCTTGGCAACCTACTGGGCTTTCTTTTTTTCTGTCACAGGCCACACTGGAGCAACGCATTCTGAAAAATGGAAAGACTTCACGCCAATGCCAATGTTCCCGCTATTTTTCTCGCAAGTGGAGTGGGAGCTACTGGTTGCTGAAACCAATCGTCAGTATGCTGAGCAGAGTATGACAGAGAAGTCACCTGACAACCCAAGTCGCCGGTCTCCAACAACCATTCCGGAAATGATGGCATTTGTAACGCTACTGGTGTGTAAGGGTATCAACAAACGGCCTCACTACAACACGTACTGGAGCATCTGGGGCGCACAAATCTCTCGGAACAGATTAATGGCAATTCTTCCATCTGACCAACTAACAAGTAGCTCCAAATATGGACACTACTCGTGACAAGCTGACAAAAGTCTGCCAATTCGTTCAGACAATAGTACCCTCGTTCCCTCGTCATTAGCCTACGCACCCAACCAAAACCTTGCTCCCGACGAGACCATAATCAAATTCAAGGCAAGACTATCATTCAAACAGCATACGCCAAGAAAGCCAAAAACGGGGAATCAAGTGTTTCTCCTTGAATGAGTCTGAAACGGGGTTACACATGCGCTGGGACAGTGTACAGAGTCAAAAGCACAAACATCAAGTGTCGACTCGGAGCCGGAGACAGACAATGTAGCTGATCATCCCACAGCAGTAACTCGACCCGGTCAAGTTGTTTTGGAACTTGTTGATGGATTTGAAAATCAGGGACACTGCATCTTTGCTGAGAACTGGTACACCAGCCCTGCTCTTGTTCAGAAGTTAACCCAGCGAGGCTTTGGTTTTTGTGAAAATGTGCGATACAAGAGTCAAAGTATTCCACATTTTGCAAACCCAAAAAAGTTTCCTATGGCTAAAGGGACTAAACCCGCTTTTATGAAAAATCAGGACAATTTTGTTTTGTTTGGCTAAATGAAAAGCGTGTGACACCCTCAACAAGCTAGGTAACTGTAGTGTAACTACAGTTACCTAACTAATGAGCACATTCGTTGTAAAAAATAGTCCCACCCACAGGTTATCGCGACATCACCAAACCGTGGATACTGTAATTGAGTATAAGAAGCATATGGGAGGAACTGACCTCGCATCGCAATAGTGTGTGTGCTATATGCACATGCTCAAAGATCGGTGAAGGGGTGGGAAGGAGTATTTTTTGCTCTTTTAGACATATGTGTTCTAAATGCAAGAATAGTGTACACTAGCCTGCGCACAATCGCACACTGTTAAATCTTGACTTTCGACTCCATTTGATCCAAGGTCTACTGTCAATAGGAAAGAGTGCAAGTGCCACATATTATGTGCACGAGCGCATCTCTTGTGTGTCAAAAGATGTACAGCATTATCCAGGCAAAACTGAGAAAACGCGCAACTGCATCGTTTTCACTATCAAAGCTCGAAGAAAGCAAACCCGCATGATTTGCAAGACGTATGATAAGCCAATGTGTGTCATTGGATGTCATTAAAGAAATTTCACTCCTAATCTGTCGACTATTTGTCAATTTTTTCGTGTTTATTGCAGTTGACTAGAAATCCAAATTCACACCCCCCTTCAATGTTGTGGTAGAAACAGGCTAGCATGGTGCTGATTTTCTGCTAATCTTGAAACACGGGGTAAATTGACATTCTGTCGGTAATTGCGTATTGATGGTTTTAATACAGACCTCTTATATCTTCTTGGAGTTTACTGATTACATTCTTTTTTTTAATGATAAGTAATAAGAATATTCATTTTTTGATATTCTGTTGTGAAAACATTTCATTGAACTGCAATGTAAGTTATTAGGTTGGTCTTCACAAGTTTGTTGTAATAAGTCCACTGTGTCAACATTGGTTTATCACTTTCTGCATAGTAAAGCCACGTTATGCCTATACAATCTGTAGAGGGCAGTATGCGCGAATTATGGACCATATCAGGTCGTGGTATTGCGCTGATATATCTTTCTGTGGGTTGTTCATGTTATTCATAGGAAAAGTGTAAAAAAAAAGGCACACGTGCATTTACGAATAATTGTCCTAATCCAAGATATAGTTCACTGCCTAAATGATGCAGATCCTGGTTTTGTTTTCTGGTTTTACCATTACTGAATTATTCATCTAATTCATGTTGACTAGAAAAGTCTGTTTGTGTCTATTTCTTTCAATAACGCCGGTTCAGGGAATCAAGGAGAAATTGCATCGATGATGTGGCTGTTGGTAGACAATATGTTTACAACCTTTTCTCAGTAATAATGATGGGAAGCCTATGGTAGAGGATTGGCTCTTATGCTTCCTGATCGAAATTCATGAGTCGCAAAGAAATCTTGACACTTTTTATTTTACATAATTATTAAGATTCATCTAAAATTAAAACTTTCGTTGTTCAGTGGAGAGCATATGGATCGCAACCTTGCCTTCTTCTTGCAGGTTGAAATCATATTGTTATCACCGTCAACGTTTTATGGTTAGTTTTAAAGTAAATTCGTCCAAAATGTTTCTGTTCTTGGCAGAGTCGCTCAACTGTTCTGTTTGTTCACTGGCTTCGAAGATCGGCCGTCACCTGACAAAAGTCGGCCCAAGAGGGTTTCTGCTGTCACTACCGTGCAAAGCGCTGAATGGCAGAACCGGTAAAACTCACAGCATTGCAGCTGGGGCAGAAGGTCGCGTTGAGCCTTCATTAATGTGAAAATGGTTGAATTGTTATTTTTTTATGTGTGGGAAATTGCTGTGTGAAAACTCATATATTGATGTTTCGTTGTCTGTAACGAAATGTGGAGATGGATGCAAGATACGTGAACAAGAATCCCCATAAGTGCACAAAACTGCTGCCAATACCAAGCACGACCAATGGGTGATTATAACAAAATGCGCAGGAGGGATCTGTAGTTCTATCAAAGCTGCTCAAAAATAAAGCAGAGAATCCTGCAATGGGCGCATTTTGATTATTACAAGAGCAAAAACTGACAAATTAATTTAAATAAACTTCTCCAAAATTTTTCGTGCAGGGTCACCGAAATTTCATCGACATTCATATAAGCAAAGAATGTACTCCCTCATTTGATGATTCCGTCGATAAGATTTCCTTCGAATATCCAAACGTTTGATGCTCACGCGTTAGTCATCACATGAAAAATAATCACGCAGTCGACCAAAAATATAACTGAACCAAAACCCCTGAGCGGAAAATCTACACCAAAATCGTGTCGTATAGACATTAGTGTTGTTATCCCTATAAAAATGACCATTTTTTGTTCATTGAATATCCTAGCTGCCGTAGCAGTGGTGCTGTCTTCCGACTTGGCTAACGATTCGTCATCAGCACCACAGTTCTCAAATGATACGGGCCTGGATGTAAGCCATGACGTCATCCTAGCCACGGACGTTGTGTCCATTATACTGGCTCTGCAGGACACAGGAGACGAATCTTTCTCCTTTCAAGACAATCCAGTCGAGTTCGAACTGCTGCACAATCACGTAATTATTCCTTTTTCAAATAGTCTGCTCTTATTCACTGAAGTCCAAAAAATCGCAGCTGTCAAGACGCGCCGAAATAAGCACTATAACACTATAAAAAACCCAAAAAACAACACTCTCTGAAAGTAGTTGAGCAAATTGGTAATGGGAAAGTTTGAGGCATAATCTGACACCAACTGGGGGGTATTTATTTTGGCCGCTTATTCGAACTGTAGGGAACATTAGACCGGTTACTATGTACATAATCATCTGGCTGTATATTTCTTCTCATTTCAAGGGAAACTTCATATGTATATGAGCGTTACTCAATGTCTCAACATCGAGGTAAACAACAAAATTTACCTCCCGGAGTTCAAGCGAGTCGAATGAAGTGACAAGAAGGCCCTTGTGCTTTGCTAGCAATCTCCAAACCAATTACCAATCTACTTAAAAACAAACAAACAAAAACCATAAAGAAACCAAAACAAAACAAAAAAACGCTTGATATCCATTGTACTGGTCGGGGAGCCTATCCTTTCTGTGGAATGTCTAAGCTTCCACGGCTTTGCTTTCCCTACTGGTTGGGAATTCAACCTGTGTACCTGTTTCAGATCCCTGTCTCTGCAGTATGGTGGCCCTGGAGGGACATCGCCAATCGTCAATATGGCCGTCAATATTCACGATTCGCTGTCTGGTCGCAAAGAGCAGCTTCTCTCTCCATACCTGGCTTGCTGGAAAAAAATTCGTGGAAATATTTGCTACCGGAGATACGAGTCATGCATTTGGTCGCATATTTTGGTGTCAGTATTCGCAACCAGAGAACGACTCATGAATTTGGTCGTGAATATTGAAGACAATATTCGTGACCGGAGAGCAAGTCGTGAATACTGACGTCAACATTGACGACTGGCGATATCCGTCCACGACCACCATACTGTAGTTCAACAATGACGATAAATATATCAAACAAACATATCACAAACTGTTTTAATTTGGACAGCAGTGACCCCTGACCCCAATAATTACAATAAGTCTCTCCCTAACAACACTTGTGAACCATAGCACTTTAAAGCACCACTCTTAAAGACAGTGATACCAACGTACCTTTGCACTAGTGCAAATTCTAGAATGACTTTGTTTTTATCCTGTACAATAGTTGTTTGTGCTGCTGACGTCGTGTTCAACTGACCCCACTGGCTCCATAGGAAAGTAGAAAATATAAACAACATGTGGTGTCATCAGAGCATGAATTTATTATAAGGCATCCCTGATAACCAGTACACTTCAGACAACTGTACGGTACGGTTGTTTTTGTGACGGCTGAGTCAAGTCCACCTTGCTGTGTTGCAGATACTCCAATTCCTGGAACGAGTAATGAATCTAACAGTCTTTTGGCAGTAGGGTCAAGTATACAACATGACGTTTCAGTGACGTATACTGCAATACAGTCCTTGTTACTATAGGGATAATCTTTGCCTTTTGCGTGTGTGTACCATTCTGTAACAGTGCAACATTTTTTTCACAGATTTTTCGAGCTTTTGTACAAATAGAAGTTGACAGGTACTGCGTTGTGTTCATATTCGTTCAACGATGAAGGCTCGAAAATACGTCAGTTAATAGCAGAACAAAACGCTGCAATGCATGCATAGTGCAAACGAACTACATGAAAGAAGAGTCAATATACATGTACATGTAGTAACTCTTTTCGCAAAAAGGGTTATATACAGTCCAATTTGCAGCAAATTAGCGTTTAAGTTTTCCTGGTCCATTTGAGGCAGAAATCGTTCAGTTTCATACAAGACTTTGTTCAAACAAATCTTATTGCTCTCATGGTACTCAATTGTAGTGTTTAGCAACAACTGGCATAATACATGTACACTGTAGAAAGGTTGGTCAAATTTGGGTTGATGTATGACCCAATATTGGTAAAAAATATCAACTTAGCAACCTTTAGGCAAATCCTTCCCAATATTTGGTCAATGTTTGACCAACAGTAACGGAAAACTGACAAACAATGTGGTAGCTTTAACCAAGGTCGGGCAAATTACAAATGCCCAACACTGTTTTGACCAACGTTTTTTTACAGTGTATAACAATAAGCAATTATACGTTCAAATTGTCTGAAAGATCTTAATTGAGTTCTGATCAGCCACCACGAGTTCCCTGCGAGGAGAAATGGCGATGCCAAATGGCCAATACAGTCCTTTAGCGACACATGCAATGTGAACTCCGTGTGGGTCATAATGGTGGATTTCACCACTTCCTGTGAAATTACCGCAATGAAGGGTAACATAGATGTCACCTGCACCGTCACAGCATACACCGACTGGTTTTGCCGTGTCTCCGTTGGCAGAAGTACATTGAACATTGAACACCTCGACCCCTGTTGTATCTACGCAACTTAATCGACTCTTGCCGTACCTTGTAAAAACTAACTGACCTTTAGTATTCGTAGCAATGTCCTCTGGAACCATGCCACCATGAGGAATGACTGTGTCTAAAGATCCGTCAAGATTGTGCAGGGACGTGACCGTTCTCCCCTTGTGCATAACTGCCACCCGTTTATTATCGACAGCAGCAATACCTCCAGTAATAAATGCCACACGGTTATCCTCTTCAGGATCATCCAGTGAGAAAGTGAACTGGGAAATCAATTGATGACTTGCGCCCAGAATCTTTACATGATCTTTACAATTGACTAGAAGGCGACCGTCTGGCGACACAGCAAAGCCGAAAGGCGCTTTCACATCAAGCTTTGATTTAAAGTGTCCTTCAGAGGTAAACACAGATATTCGCTCATTTCGCCTATCACAAACTATAATTTCACTATTGCTGAAGCAGCCAACGCCTCTTGCACTGTTTAATTCTCCGTTTCCATCTCCTCTCTTACCAAACTCGGTTTTCAACTTCCATTTCTCTCTATGAAGTATTTTCCCAAGACTTTTATCTTGCACGATGGCTTGGCAGCTGACTCCAATGAAAGACTTGTCATGATTCACTTTCTCAAACGTGAGCTCTTTCTGGAAATCCAGGTTGTGCATCACCTTTGGCCTCAAATTTAAAAGCTCTAAATCATTGGCTTGTTGCATTAATTCGGTAACCGCTGCCACGATAGTCTCTGCTCGTTCCATCTTGTTCTTATTCTGTGTGTGCACCGTTTCAAATTCCTCATCTCTCTTCTTGCCAGTCTCAGTGATCTTGTCCCTAAGAATTTGGGACTTATTTTTGATCTTAGCAATCTCTTCTTCCTCCTTAGCTTGAATGTCATTGCAGGCTCGGACCACCATTAATTGTAGTCTGTTTCTTGCGTGGTCAACCGATTTTCCTATTGCAATGAACTCCTCTCTGTTCCTCTCAAACCTCTGCAAGACATCCTCAACTTCTTTACGGTGTAATCTGACGGCATCGGCAATTTCACTGTACTTGTGTTCTGCAGATCGGTGGTCTATCGCGGCGCATATGGCACACGTCAGTACTTCGCAAGTCTCGCAGTAAAAATGCATGTCTTGGTTGCCGTGCTTGTGACATTTCGGTGAGTGTTTCCCACCGAGGTCTTCTTTAGTGACCTGCTTTGTGATTGGACTGTCTATTGCGATGATCTGGTGTTTCTTCGTGCGCTTAGAGCGTTCATGCGCGGCCTTACACAGCTGGCAAAGATTTGTCTCGCAGTCTAGACATCGTGACATAGCCTCCAATCCCTCTTCACAATCGCCGCATGTCGGTGCGATCGCTGACTGCAGGGTTTCCAGTGATTGTTCTCGCTGGTTGAACTCATCCACCAGGGAACTCAGGAAGAAACAATCCAGCAGACCATGCAAGCCAACCACCGGCACTGGAGTCTCCTTCCTACAGACTGGGCACGAGATCTTGGAAGTGTCCGGCTGCTTGGCACTCAGCATTCCGTCCAGACAGTTCAGGCAGAAGCTGTGAAGACAGTCTAGGATCTTGGGCTCTTTAAAACGGCAAAAGCAAATTGGACATTCCAAATGACCCTGGCTGATTTCACCTAATACAGTTTTAGTGGTGGACTCTGCCATCCTCAAGAAGTTTGACCCACCTAAAAAAGTAAAAGTGGAATGGTGTTTGGCTAATTGCTAGAGAAAGTGATTTGAAGTCGTGACTTTCCCCGCAACCAGCTTCTGTGATGAGGCCGTGAATGTGCAACCCAAATTTATTTAACAAAAGATTGGAGATGCATGCAAATCACAGTCAGCTCTGTTTTTGCCATTTGCTGAAAGCTTTGCAGCTGGGTTCTTGCACGCGTTTGGCGTGCGCGCGAAGACCCTACAGTTTTGTTGCGTGTACTCAGCCCGCGTGCTCCTCGTCAAACGCGCACAAACGTGCGCGCCTCTGCGGTGCCGGTGAAGGCGTACCAAAGGACTGTCAATTTCATTTCAAAACATGCCCTCTTTGTTTCCTGCTCGAAGCCGATAGGACGCGGAAGGCTCGAGAGTGTCTCAAGTGTGCCTCCACTCGTTTGTACAGCAGTGCAACGTGTTTTTTGGGGGGGAGGGGGTTAACAAAGAGCCAGCCACTTACCTTCACAGAATATAATACAGACTCTGCATCGGTGAAGTATTCAGTGTAACCTTGACTCCTTTGATCTGCATAAGACCGTTGAATAGAAGGTAAAGGGAATTTGTAGCTTAAACGGGAAAATAAAATTCTAATCTAGGCACTCCTTGACCAAATTCGAGAAAACAGAAATTTTGTTCTCTGTTTTAGCAGTGCTAACCTACGGGCTGTCATCGGGGCAGAAAAGATAACATAAAAAATAAAAACAAAATTAGATTTACAATATAAATAAATTTAAAAATACAAAGAATAAAAACGAGAGAAATAAAAATAAAACAAAAACAGGAAAACACAAATAACTTAAGAACAAATATAACAGAATGAAAATAAAACTCAAAAACATATAAACTGAATAAATAAATAAAATCACAAATGAACAAAAATATATAACTATAGAAATAACAAGGAAAAATAAACAGAAAATAAAATAATTAAAATATAAAATTTCAAAAAGAAGAAAAATTAAAAACAAAAGAGAAATGTATGACAAAAATGTCAGAATAAACCAAAATTATTATTTTCAAGAAGTAAAAAAAAACAGGCAATATCGCAAATAAAATTGTAACTCGCAAAATAAAAATGTACCTCACAAACGAAATTGTATTTTCGTAAAAGAACTGACCTACAGCGAACGTTGGGGGCGTGCTTAGTGCTTTGGCCTGGCCGGCGACGCTCGCATGAAGTAATCTTCCTTAACTGTCCGACATAATTTGGCTTGCCTTGCTTTTAATGTCTTAAAAATATACAAACCGTGAATGGAAAAGGTCAGCATTAGAATCATAATTAAATCTACTTCACATCAATACTGAACATGGAAATATAAAATATACATAAAGAAGAAAATAGCTGTTTAAGAGAAAAATGACAGTAAATTATTTGATTAGTAAGCTCCATGGGGTCCGAGTATCATCATAATTTTTCCGATAATTACGTGCGGATGGTCAGTAACTTTGTGAGTTTGGGGTCTTTTTACCAGAAATTTTAAACCCCATTTGGGGAGACAATGATCTCTCTTTTGTTTCTGGCACAATTTACATGTAACCAAATGATTTTGATCTTTCCTACATCAATATTCAGGTTTGCCATTGTTGAAAGTAAAAAGAAATAATGGTGAAGAGTTGGGGTGGGAAGTTGACACCCCCCCAAATAAAAAGGAGTTGGTGGTGGACTTTCTCTCCACAAGTTTATAAAATGCATACTGTGCAGAATGTATTCCAGCTGCCATCGTTGATAAGCATCATGTTCATTGATAAAAAACACTCCAACTCTACCAGGACACAACATACACTTAACTCTCTGAAGGAGTGCTGTGCCTCAGTGATGATATCCACCTGAGAAGGGTTTACTCCTTTATTGCTCTATCAAAATGTTCATAATTTCAGTGGGAGCATGCAACATTAGTGATGATCTAATGATATCTCCACATACATCATGTGTATGCCTTTGGAATACAACCATATTGAATCTATGAATTGACAAGTTTAAAAGCCCCATATAGTTGTTGACAACATAGTAAATAAAATATTGACGAGAATATAATATATAATCAGTGCTCTGATTACCGTGACAATTACATATTTCAGAGCACTGCATTCTGGTAAATATTCTGATCACGGTGCCATGTAGCCCTTTCAGTTTTTGTAAATAAATATAATTTTTTGAAAGTCACAATTAATAATTGTGATGCTTGTGGACTTGCGAGGCCAATGAAAAATTCCAGTAGCCTACTTTCTTCACTGCCTCACGAAAAGCTGGACTAGTGCCAATTGTCCAGTGTCCATGTACTTGTGATGGAGTGGGCCCATAAGACCGTCAGGTTTTTAAGGGTGAATTTCAGGAAAAAAACACAAGTTTGCAACCCTGTACACTGAGAACCCTGCTGCTCCTTGCATCAAGGTGGTAAGGAACCTTCTTGTTAAAAGCCCCTCCATGCCCACCACATGTACATAATAAAAGCTTTCAAAACATGCATAAGTCATGTAAATCAGAAATTAAAAGTAGGATATGATCCCATAAGTGACAGTCAAGGGGGAACATTAATATTTGTAAACCAAGGACCAATGAAAAATACCATACAAACAGGCATTTTTACTTTAATCATATTTTGTTCGATTACATAAATCATGGCAATCTTTACTTAATGTCAAGATCGACATTTGCCCTTGAGTGTGCACGTGTACAGTTTGCTATTGCATTACCAGAACCATTACCAATGATGTTGTGTACAACAATGGTATTATAATAATACCATTGTTGTATACAGCATCATGCCCAAGCATAAGAGGAACAAAAAAACAAACGTGTCCTCCTACCTTGTGTGCTATTGGGTCCTACCTGTCCTACCAATCCGTCATTCATGTCACATGCCCAGTTTCCTACCTTTCAGTTGTTCAGTCGAACGATGGTGCCAGAACTTGTATTTTAATTGGTAGGCCTATTTCACGCCAGTGCAGGTCGGTCTATATTCAGCGTGTTAGATCGGGTTACCAAACCAGTTTAATCATGGAGCAATGGAAAGATATTCTGTGTGGAAGTCGTGCTTCTCACACCTGCCAAAAAACTGTGCCGTTCGTGCATGTCTGTCTCTACCATATTGTATCAGGGGGTCAAGGTTCATCTTACAAACACGTGAACTGTGCAAACTGCGAAGTACGGAGGTACTTAAATGCCAAACGTGTAGATAAAATAAATGATTTTAGAGTGTGCAGACAGTCTTCGAAATTGTAAATGCATATTACAGGCCTTATTTGTTAAAGGCATACAACTAAGTGTTTAATACTGGTGTTTCACAAATAGTGCGAGTCCAAGATTTTGCAATGCGTTGGCCAATTACAATATGCGAAAACTGTCGATCTATATAATGCACGTTTGGGGAGGGTTGACAGATTTCGAGCGTAGTGATTGGCCAATGCGTTGCACGCTCTTGGAGGGGCACTATTGTGAAACGCTCGTATTTTTGAAATAGATATTGTATTAGGCCTACTCGCTTTGAACTGCTCGGTATGACCTCTTTACTGCCTTTGGCCAAGGGATAGCCTACCGGCGACTGGACAGCATTTGAACTTCTCGCTTTGCAGTGTATTATTAACTTAGTGTTCCTTGTATTTTGGTCTTCCCCAATATAGGTGATCACTGGAAACGCAAAACGGGTGTGCACATTTTGGAAGATTTTTGATGAGTGAGTTTTAATTAGCCATCTGGGCTCCAACAAGCCGCAGAACAAAGCTCAGTATGCTTACGTGCAGTTCTTGTTTTACCTTCTGTATTCTGTGATTGTTTCTTCTTGCTTGTATTCATGTGTGCTCAAATGTAGTTTTGTATATTTCTCCAATTTTTCCGACTTTGTTTTGGTTATAAAATCAGTAAGATAATATACCATTTGAACTTGCTGTTGTTTAGTTGTTATATTCTTTGTCTTTGTTTTTTGGGTAATTCTTGGGGATTTTATTAATCACTTTTAAATTTTAGTAAATCCTAAGTGAAGATTTATTATTCCAGTTACTTGAGATGTTTATCTAATCCAGCAAATAGTCATGTTAAATAACTACTCACAACTGAAATGGAGTGAATAACAAGAGGAGGTAGGTATTTAGGTCGGTAGGAATAGGTATTTATTTCATTTCCCGTCTACTCACCTTCCATTTACACGGAAAGCATGACACCTGTTATTTATTTGTTCTTCCCTTGTGAACTTGTTTTGCTCTCTGTCTTAATATTGTTGATAGTGAGACCTATGAAGGGGTGTGGTCTAGTCAGGGGTGCACAGTGGTCAAGGAGAGCGCCAATTCAACCACATGCTCTTGTAATCACCTGACTAACTTCGCCGTACTAATACAGCTCAATGAGGTATCATTTTATTAGCATCAGTTTTTTTGCGCAAGTTTCAAGTTTGGCACAGAAGCAGTTAAACGTATGATTTAATAGCAAATGTACATAAAAAAATCAGTTTTAATTATTTACTCTCTCACTGAAATTATTAATAGGCCAAAGTGTTTTTACAATGTGTTTGAACTCAGCATATTAAAAGGAATTTTACACGGAAATGTTATTTTACTTGTAATTTTTGTTAGGAGCATTTTATAATATTTTCTTTTGAAAGTCTTCATTTCGATTTCGAATTGAAATCATAAAAGGCATCGGGTACGTCCCTGGTTTGCTCTTTCGAACAATCTGGCGTTGCCAGAGTCCTTATAAGCAAGCACAAATTGGTTAGCACCCAAACACACATCTGTGTAGACCAATGTTGAGCTTATCTCTATTTTCAAGACTTTGCTTCTTTCGATAGGAACCACTTCCCCCGGACGACGAGAAAGCCTTGAATATTTTATCCATTCTTGGAGGTTCACTTTCCATCATCTGCCTGGCATTTATGCTGGTCATCTACGCAGTCCTGAAGTAAGTCAGGTGCATTACGTTTGTTCTTATACTGATGGACTCGCACAGTTTGGAGACAGTTGTCTTCTACGGTATTTTTTAAAGACCTTTGACAGAATTCCAGACGAGCACCATTAATCGCTTGTTTCATGGGTAGTCATTAAATATCTTGAGTCGTCTTTTTTCAGATTTTTTTAGACTCACTAACACGCTAAAGTTGAGTCAGCGTCTCATAAACTCGACGCCCTTTGTAGGAATTTCTTTCTGGTCACAAAGGAAACCTTAACCCTGCTCCTTAAATGATTCATTTAGCTAAGGATACTAACAATTCAGCATAGGGACTGATAACTGGTGAATGCAGAACCCCAAAGGGGCTGAAGTCCCCCAAGCATCCCTCCTCTCAAATGCTGTACTCATTCTTCGTTTGCAAACCCCCTGTCTACAAGAAGTGCGTCCAGATTGCTATATATTTGGTATATGGAGGAGGTCGACAGTTGCGACTGTTCAACTCTACTTACCCATCGGATGGGTATGACTGGAAATTGGAGGATTCCAGGACTAATTCTTGTTGGGATTAACTCCCGTTACTTCAAATCAGAAATTTTTCGAAATTTGAAAAGTCCCCCGTTTGCCTTGGGATTTGTGACCACGCCATGGAAGCTTTGTTGTTAAGTTAAGCGTGCATATCTACTTCAAAATCAGCTATTGAATTATGAGTGTTTGGTATGACCGTTTTCCAACAAAGATGTCACGCTTCTTCGTGCATGTGTATAGAAACTTTTATGAAATTGTGATCCGCGTGACAGCCAGGTTAAGCTGACTTTGTTTAACAGACAATGACTGTGCGACCAAACCTACCATTAGAATCATGACAGCTTTAGTTAACAGTTGCGTTAGAAAGAATGTGAAAAGAAAACGGTACTTTTAGACATTTCGCAGAACACAAAAACCACTCTTTAGGAGGTTTCTGTTGCCAGCTACCGAGATAGATTAAATATGCGATATTTTTCAACGGCATGGACGTCGGCGACACTTCCCACCTCTTAAAGGCAACGATATAGCAAATGTGTGACAAAAATAATTGACAGAAACGTCTGGGTCAGCAGAAGGGTCTTGTATTATTTATATCTGCATCTCCACTCATGTCATACTCTTTTGGATTGTTCTTCTGTTTCTGTATTTGGCGTTAAGGATGTACAAGACTGAACGCGGGATGGTCCATGCCAACTTGTCTGTAGCGTTGCTGATGTCACAGCTCATTTTCCTGACAGGAATCGATGCCCATGTGTCAAACGTAAGTATGCCTCATGATGCAGTTTAATAATACGATAAATCATCTCAGGTGTCTGTTGTCTCCAGCGAAGGACTTAATAATAAGCCTTTTGCGAGTTGAATTCGAACAAGATCTAGTGTGCCGCGTTATCGGATTGCAGATACACGTAACAATTTGAATTCCCCATAGTAAAGACACTGACGCTATACCTTGTGATTCGGGGCAAGCTTTTGCATAGTGACCATCATCTATGGAGTGGACTAGATCCTTTGTGCCTTACCCATTGAAAACAGTGTATTTGTGCAAGGCGTCTCTTATGGAACAAAGTAATAATTTGCCCAAATCACGGGTTATAGCAACAGTCTCTCAGTTTTGAGATTTCAAATTGTTAGGTTCATGTACCAGATTTTATTCAACTTTAACTCGCCAAAGGGTTATTGGCAAGATTCTAGGTTGCATTTAATGACACAGAACCCTTCATGCCTTAGACAAGATTTCAGTCGGAAACTGCATCTAAAAGTAAGTGTTTAGGACGGTTTCCAATCAAGATACGTTTCCAGCCAATATTGCCGAGCTTCTTCAATGTTTCATTCTCTTCTCAACCCATCTCGTTAGACAGAATTAATCTTTTAACCCTGAAGGATTTTATCAATTTCCCCAACCAGTAATTAGTCATAGTCTTGTGTGAAGGGTTCTTTAGACTTGATGGTTTTCCTTGGCTGGATTACGATCAGTAACCACAACAACACTTTGTGCATTGACACTGTTAGGAAACTTTTCAATATTAGAGTTTTGTAGTCTTATCCGTACACACATAGCATAATTATTTTATCTCTTCTGAGCCAGATTATGAGAGGGCCCAATTTTCCCAGCAATGGTAGCTCCTTTGTGAGAAAACCGTACGTAGCTGGTCCACGAATAAATATGATGCGTTGTGGTCGTGTTGTAACAAAAAGGCTGCCCTTGATTGAACAATCAGCCACCAACGTCGCTCTTTTCAACCGATAGGCCTACGGGGGCTGAACTACAGGCTTAGGCCTACGTTAAAAGGGACGCTCGTCTTAATTTACGCATACCTACCTAGCCCCGATGCGCTTTGAAAACGTGTAGGCTTATCTGAAAAGCACCTTAAGTCGCAACAGGAGGCTCTAAAGCATAGCACGATCCTCCGCTGTTTTGTTTCTCTGTAGAGGACCGCCTGCAAGGCTGTCGCTGTCCTGCTGCACTATCTACTGTTGGCCATGTTCAGCTGGATGCTGATAGAGGGCATCTTGCTCTACGTCAGTGCCAAGTTCGCGTTTCACCGAGTCCGCCGTTGGCAGTTCTTGTTGTTGGGTTGGGGTGAGTAAAGACGCCTTAGCACTAATTGGTTTACACTGTATTTGTTCTCAACTCGAAAAGAAAAATTGCTTATTTTTGAAGGTTAATTTGAATGTATACTCAGAGAATGATCGGGCAAATGTATGTCAAATCCACAACTGTCTTTTTTGTGTTTTTTGACTTAAGAAAGTGAATTTGAGAAAGTGAATTTGAGATTGAAAACGTTTTGCACTTAAAGCTATTTTTCAAATCGCTTTCACTCTAAAATACTGGTTCCATAATCTTGGTAGGGATTCTCTTAGTCTATGAGTTTTTTCAGGTCCAGAGAAAAGGATGTGCACGTGTATAAGTTTTTGCAAAATGTTTTTACTTGAAGGTGTCTTTTTTCTTGTCACTAAAATTGTTAGTTAAAGATTAGATAATCATTGACGTTCAGTTTCAAATAAAAGCCAACCTGTGGCACTGCAAAAAAATTATCTTTTAGCATCTGGTATTAATGAGCGAGTTAAGTATTCCTATAGCTCGTACCCGCTTGCGTTGTAGTGTACGTAGGCCTAATCAAACGTGGTCACTTGTCAACTCGTACGCGTTGAACATGTTCAAGCTTGCGTGCTTTGTTCTCGAGTGACATTGCCACTTTGAAATACCAAAATTATGGCTCATCTGACACCAAATGGTGTCATTTTGAGTACTGCATTTTCTGCAGGGTGTTAATGGGTCAGGCAGCTATCGACGTCTTTTGCAAAGCAGGCCAACGTAAAACTTGAAACTTTAATTAATTAAACAAAGAAGCTGCAAATGTACTGAAGTTCTTGTAAAACTATGTACACTATGTGCCCGTGCAACACGGAATGTTGGAGCCAAAATTGTTGGCGGAAATTTAGCTTGGTGAGTTGTTTTTCCTTTTTACCCTGTTTTCCTTTCTGAATCCCGAATTCCAGGTTCGCCAGTCCCTGTGGTCTTAATATCCCTCGCCTCTGCTTTTGATAGTTACGGCACAGACGAAAAGTAAGTCGTGTTCGATTCATTTGCAATCTCACGGCACCTAACAGGGGCAGGGAATTGCCCTTCTGTCAGCTATTTTTAGTGGGTGCCTTGCTCTAAGAAATTTATCTTCTCATTTACATTCACGCAAAGTATTCAGTTTTGTAGTGGCCAATTTTTATGTCATTAAGAAATGTAAGTATATGAAACGCGAATCTGAGGTAATCGTATCTCATAATCGTTCTTTCGTTTGCGGAAACAGCATGGTGAATATTTTTTACACTCCCCAATGGCAGTGGGTTACCTAGCTAATAGGCTTTTGTTTCAACAATCGAAACAAAAGCGAAACGACTAGAGTGTCAAAGAGATTAATTTTCGTTTGTTTAAATGTAAAAGTTTAGGTCACTGTGAGCTTCGATTTGCAAACCTACAAAATGACAGCAGTTTTTCTTGGAAAGTCAAAGAGGAAATCTGCCGTATCTGAACGAATAGAATGTACTTAACTCGAATCTAATTGAGATGCTCATTAATTTTTGTCCTACACAGTTGCTGGCTGAATGGGGCGAGTAAATGGGCATTTATTGCTCCCGTCATCTTTGTTATGATGGTAATTAAGATCAATTTTCTGATTTTCTCTAGAGAAAATCTGTCGTTCATCCTTCAAAATTGCAATTGTTTGTGTATTCGTTTTATTAATTTTGGTAATGTCACCACAGTTATGCGTCTAGGTGTGGTTTTAACTCAGTCCAAACAAATATAGTCCGTAATTTTACAATCAGTCTGAGGATTATTTTTTAATTAAAGACACGTAAAAAGTGATTATGTTGAAGTTATTTCTCTTTTGTTAATTAATGGCTATTCCAATTCATCTACGTTCGTTTAAATATAGGTAAATGTGGTCTTTCTGATCTACACATTGGCGGCACTACTGAAACTGCAAGTCCTGAAAAGCAAGACTGAAGTTGCCAAAATAAAGTAATCATAGAATTCCTGCACTAAGTCTACATTGACACATAAAAATATATATTGCGTTTTCCATCGCCATAACCTTTTTACAATAAAACCACATTTGAAATCTCAATTTTGCACCTGGTTAGAAACAGACAGAGTTTCGGGGGGGGGGTTGAATGATCTATTTCCCCTTTTTGGTTATGGTCTTAATTTGATGTGATTCTTGTTGCCACTATTCTCTGAGGAACTAAGAGAACTCAAACCCGAACTAGGATAACTAGCCTAAAGAGACATCCATTAATGCTTTGAAACTGTTAATTGCGAACTCGATCTTTTCCTCTCGTTGAGAATATGGTTCAATAATGTATACGAAAGTGGGTTCTTGGTAGACCATCCTTCTCATTTTACAGTTATATGATAGGCAATCAAAACGTACATGCTAAAGAGGATAAGATAGACCGATTTTAGCTGAAGCTTATTGAATAATTGGATTTGGATTAAGAGGAAAGAACCTTCCACCTCCTTTAACTTTTTTCTCCCAGGGTTTTCACGAGGGCACTGTTGATTGTTCAGCCTGTCATGGGATTTGCTTGGCTCTTTGGTTTGGGCCTCAACACAGCTGAAGACTCCAAACTCTTCTTCTACTATCTCTTCGTCATTCTGAACTCATCACAGGTACAGATGGAGTTTGTGACTGTCAGGAAAGTCGACGTTTTTTCAATAAATATGCTCATGAAGGAGCTGGTTGCATGCATCACCAACCGTCCTAATGATAATGGATTTTGACATATTTTCTATCCCATGTAACTTTTATTGCTTATCTTTCACCCTAGGGCGTGTTCATCTTTTTCTTGTACTGTCTGAACACTGACGAGGTGAGTTCCGGCATGGCTGATGCCCACGGATTTGAAATCACACACATGAAGATCTCGTCAACAGATCTTTCAGTTATCGGTTATCAGTTATCGGCTTTCAGTTATGAAATATGCGAAACTCGCTCAATGAATATATTACTCAGCACAGAAAAAAAATGTTCAGAACAAGTGAGTGTGTGAGATAATAGACCTATGCAATCTCTGAATATAAGATGTTACGTCGTATTTTCCATAATCTTGTAAGATCTGGATGCTCAGTGTAAGATTCTTCGCAGTTTGAATTATGGCGAGCCCGATTTTACCTGTCTTCCTCATTACTTCTGGGTGGTCTTTCCTGTTGTTGCCGCTCATGTTGTTTGAGGTGTTTGTGGACAGTTAGTAGGCCCAAGATGCAATTGACTCCAATTAATCATGCACTAGCCTGAGATGGCAGGAAACGAAACGGCATGCTCCCCTAAAGGGCGCGCGCTGAATTTGTCGCATTGCTAGGCTTCTATTATTGTTTTTAATAACGCATTGAGCTGATGCATCTGAGTTCCTTCCTTCCATCCTTTTTGAGCTTTTTGATTAATTTCATACTCTACCTTTTTAAACGTTCTTTCACCTGCACCTTGTGTCGTAGGTTAAACAAGCATTTGGCCGCGTCCGTCGCCAGTTTTCACGCCGTCTCAAACCGCACGCCTCGTCCAATGCCACGATGAACAGCATCAATAATGGAAATAAAGAGATGACATTTCCGACCGTCTCTGAGGCTCCAGATGGTATGTATCTGTCTGGTATTTTCTTATTGGTCACAATCAAAGATCGCATAGCGCCGGGAACGATCTTTGGTCACAATCTTCAGGTTTTCCGTTTGTTTCCCTTGACAGGCGTTTGTACCGTCGCGTTGTACATTCAGATTGAGAACCAAAAAAATTCGGAAACAACCCCAGTCGCTGTTTGTTGAAAAGTGACCTTCTATGGGCGTGACTAGTCTGTGCGAGGGCTTTTCATGTTAGAAGAACAAACGGTACCACGATACCTCTGAGGTAAAAATTCTTGGTACCCGTTGGCAGGTGGATGGATCAGTATAACCTCGCGCCTGTTGGACTCGGATGTATCTTGAATGCACCGTCAAGTAAAATACTACAACTGATGAACAAAATACGTTATTTTGCTAAAATGAAGTTAACTTTACCACCAGGAGATGCTGGGCATCATTGTGGTACAAGGAGGGCTTGAAGTAAATGTAAAGCAATAAGGGTGGGACGTTTACACGTTCAAACGTTTTAACGAAAAGTTTCAAATCCGTTTACATATTTCCCAAAATTCCAACATTTATTGTCATGCTTAGAACATAAAAAGCACAAACATTACCTCCCTAGAGTACAATATAAGATTAGCATTAAAACATTAGCATTAAAATATTTAACCTAAAAATACCAATAGATTATAGATACACGCAGTTACAACAATTACAACAATACACATTTTACAGATTCAGAATTACGATGACGATGGGGTGAAATTGTAAGGAAGGAAACGATGGAGGAACACAAATACAGGAAGGTGGAAAATAGGGAGGACGGTGAGGAGGGAAAATGAGCGGATGGAGGAGGTACAAGGGATATAAACAAACTGATAAAGGGTCAAAAACAGCATTAGAAACATTGGAACGGTGAATTTGACACAAAAATCACAGTTTAGTAAGATAAAATAGATTAAAAGAACGCATTAGGCCTATTTAGTAAAAGATAAATTAAAAATATGGATGGCCCATGGCAAGAAAGACGACTTGAGTCTGTTTGTCTTGAGTGCAAGTTGGCGTACCCTACCAGATCGATTCCAAATAATGAAGGGATTGAGGAGGTGGGTAGAATTAAACGATATTTCATTGAACTTTCTGGTAACATGACGTTGGGCGATTTCTAAAAAAATCGACCCCAGTAATCCTCCGGGCTTGCTTATCTGTGCGATGGAGTTTTCAAGATTACACAAGGAGAGTGGGTTAAACCAGCTAATAAAACAAAAGGTTATAATTGACTGAGCCGTACTCTGAAAGAAAATCTTTACAATCTGATTATTAACATAAAAAGGTTTTAATTTTCTTAAAAAGTAAAGCCGTTGGTTAGATAGTTTGGAAATTCTACTTGTATTCGCATTCCAACTTAGTTTGTCATCAACAATTGCCCCCAAGTACTTAAACTCATGAACCACTTTAACTGGAGTATTGTTGATTGTGATAGGTTCAATGCTATTAGTTGTTTTACAAAAGTTGAATATCATTTCTTTGGTTTTTTGTATGTTCAAAATCAGGTGATTACGATGGCATCACTCAACAAATCTGCAAATCTCATTTCTATATTCACTATCACAATTGTTAGTAATCAGTCCAGTAATAGCAGTGATCATAACACATGATCCACTCTAAAGACAGAAATAACTTGTATACAATGAGAACAGCATAGGGACAAAACACACCCTTGAGGGACACTTGTGCTAATGTAAATAACTTCAGACACTGTGTTTGCAAACCTAACCCTCTGTGATCTGTTTGGTAAAAAATCATTAATCCGAAGTACCAAGTACGGGTTATTACCTGGCACCTTACTCATGAGAACGTGAGGCTTGATGGTATTGAATGCCGAAGAAAAATAACAAAATTGGGTTCGTAAATAAGTATATACTTTTTTTGAAGGTGATCATAAATATTGTGCAAACAAGCAAATCCCAAACGTATAAACGGACTTACTCCGTTTAGAGGTTTGACGTTTTGATTGATTGACGTTCATTCTCATCATTAGAGCAACAACAGGTTGTCGAGCTGTATAATCAACGCATTGCACACAAGCAAGTCACAAATTGAATACAAGCTTGTAAAAATTTACTGTTCATTACCTTATACTTGTGATTTAACCCGTGAATTGGCTTTTGATAATATCCTGAGTACCTTACATAAAGCATCCCACAAGCCTTGTGTTCTGGCATCTTTGATTTCATTTTTTTAATTATTATTTTTTATACTTCAGCTTCGATCTTTACCTGCTTGCCACTAGAAGTACCAGTAACCATCAGGAAAATGTTCATTTTAAACAACGGCTTGTGCCCAAACGGTTGACCACAAATGTAGGCCTACTACATGACGTCTTGCCGACCATCTACTTTTCGGGTAACTTTTGACGTACTTTTTTTCCAAACCTTTTCCCCAACAGATGGCATAAAGTCAGCGTGGATATGACTTGCATGCAGCTGGAGGATGCCGGATTCACCTGGCACAAATTAGAATTCCCCAATCTATAAGCACGCTGAAGCTAAAACGCATAGCATCATCACATGAAAAAGTTATCAACTGACGTCTTAAAAAATAATGTCTGGTTATAGCCTAAGAGAACGAATTTAGATTTTCATTTTCAATTATATTATTATATTATAGAATTGATATATACTCAGATAAAATTATGTATTATATGAGATATCGTATTATTGATATATGTATACTCAGATAGGCCTAAAATAGTATTTTGATTTGTAACTTTTTAGCCAGTATATAAGCACGGTTTAATAAAATAAGCGTTGGATGTAACGGCACATATTTACATCTCGGATGCACAGAAACACAAACTGCTTTGCATGGTACTACTCTAAAGATAGCATTCTGATTTTAGAGCGGCTGAAGCGTTATATTTTCCCGTTAAATTTAAACGAATTAAATGCAATGGGTAGGGCTACTTTTGGACAGTGAAAAGTATTGTATTCAATTTCATTCAGCGTTAAAGTGTGGCCTCTATAGTGCTACACATTAATGAAATCTTAGGCAGTGCAAGGCTAATATCTTTGGTGTTTTGGACGATGCTTAATAGGCTGTCGCAAAGTATTCTTGCCTTTCAAGCAGACAAAATTTACACGTACTTTTTTGAGCGTTCATGATCTGCTGATTTTTTTGTTTCATTTTGTAAATATTTGTCTGATGTGATGTTATTTTAGAATATTACAATAGTTTGGACTAACAGTACCAGAGGCTGGCGTACAGGAAATATGCACAGTTTCACTGATTCCTCAGAAAATATACGTGCGGTTGTTAAAGTATGTCAACTATTTGTAACCACAGCGAGTTTGATTTAATTCAATCCTGTGACGCACCTTTTAAAAAATCTACATGTCATTTGTTACTGATAGAAGCGACGTTTCTACAAATGTAAAGAATTTGCCAACATAGCAGCCCTTTCTGAGGAAGCGGTATTTTTTGCGCAAAACTGTAAGAGGCTTAGCATCGTTTCAATTACCTCTGCAATTATTACTATTCATTGTAGAGTTTGTCAAAGAAAGTGTATTCCAATCCAGATTACACTCAAAAGTGCATTCACATTCGCCCGGGCATTCCACGGCGTTCCTTTGGCAATATTTCAGTTACGAGCAAGCTTTCGTGACATTTCTTATTGCAGGGAAAATTCAGATAATTATACTGAATATATTTATGCCTAATAAGCCAGTTATTGACATGGACAGAATGAAACATGATGGATTGATTTACTTGCCCTCAGACCAAATAACGTGTAAAACAGTGAATGCAACCTGTATTAGTAGAAGTGTGGGACACATTATTCACTGAATGTGTTATCGCATAAATCTTTACGTCTGGAAACTGGATTAAACGACCCTCGGGAAAAATAGATTACCCAATCCCTTTAGTTAAAACACTTTTTCAACTTTTGAACTTGAGCATTTCATAGTCGCGTGTGAACCACCAGAAAAGCCTTCTTTACAAAGAAAATACGTTCGGTCCGGCGACGCAGCTTATTTCACCCTCACTTTTTTTCTGGAAATATGTTCGCATACAACGTGACTGCATGTGCACGTAGGCCTACCGTTGGGAACTACAAATACTAAAATAGAATGTCACCACAATATTAACTGTTTAAAATCGTTTTCAGCCTGTACATGCAAACAGGACATAGACTATCTCGTTTGTAAACACAGAAATGACTTCATCTGAAAAAGAGCGCCCGACTAAATGTAAAGAGGGCTTAGAGGGACTCCTTTACTGTATTACTCAACTGTACTCCATCTAAAACACATTAGCAGGATTCCATTCGATCGAGCAAGTTTGGCAGATTTTGGACATCATTTTATGCCAAGTAAAATGCTTTGTTATCTTACCGACACACAGGTCTACGGCGACGTGTACACTGACCAGAAACTGGAGACTTGGGGGGGGGGCTGTAGTTCAGTTACTACACATTGAGTTAAATTCACAGTTTTTTAGGGTTAATTCAACAATTCAAGTGTGTTTTCAGGTTTTTCAGTAGTTTCCTTGAAAACGAGTTTTTAAAAATTAAACACTAAATTAAAGGTTGAATTTTTATAGATTTAACTTTTGAAATGGTGGATTTTACACTTGCAGTATGCAATCACTGACCGCTAAGATGTGTGTAGTGGATTTAGTGTACATTAAGTCAACTGAAGTAAAAAGTAACAAAGTTCAAAGCAAAACAGAAAGCATTGCTTTAAGGTGTATTGTGTGATATCATATATGGATCATTGATCATTGCTCTCCGTTATGTTTTTTGTGGAATGTAGAGTCAAATTTACCTCCCTGTCTAATGTATCTATTGGAGACATAGTTCCAACAAATACCGTAACCTTTTCTTGACAGTAAAAGGAACTCATAGACTTCACGCTGAAGCCGAGTTTTTTAGTCAATGACGTTTTGCTTAATTGTCACTTATGCATTTTACACAGAACAATGAAGCTGTTGCTCTTGCAAATTAAATCAAAATATCATTATAATCATATAAAACAATATAAACAAATCAATATAAACAACAATTATTTATTTCTAGTGTTAACACACGTACCGTTGGCATGGTCGACGCTTTCTCTTTACCTAAGAGGATTGTTACCATTTGCATACACAGATTCCTATTTTTCGCCCTGAAATTTCGAGAGGACTAAACTCCCGTAATCATATCTATTATACAAAAACCCCAAACGCCTTTGTAGTTCATGAATCTCACGTGATAGGTCTACTGACCAGTATAAGATTAGTATTGTTTGTGGTTTTCACTACAAATTTACTCTATGTTCTGTCTTGTAAATTCTTTGTTAGTTTTTTCAAGCAAATAGAATTTCTTTAATTGGCAATGCAATTCTAAAAATGAACTAAATATATTGGTTATACTTTTTCGAAACAGACGTTTTCCAGTAGTGAATGGTTGTTGTGTTTGCCTTTGGTTGAAGGACCCTACTACATCATCCACCCTCACCCTGCCTTACATTGCCTGTTAGTAACGACAACATTGTATTTGAGCGATTTGCAGTGGTGGCGCCTGTTTGCTCCCAGGAATGCAGGGTATTTCATGGTCTTTGCCTGACTTAATGGGCATCCTACCCTTCCCTCTGCGGTAATGATGTACTGTTTTTTCGATTTAATCATCGGATATAAGCAAAGGGGAAAGAGCAGCTAACTCGCGTTTTTCTCTCTCATTCAAAATCCGGCTGTCCGTCCAATAATTATCCCGCTGCTGCGCTGGATTGAATTGCCTCACATAATAGCTGCAATTCAATTAACTTTTTTGAATGCGCAGGCGTTTTGCAAAGAGAATACAACGGAAGAGCCTATTGATACTCGACACTTTGCCCTAATGGGCCGTGTAATACCATTGTCGAGATGGCCAGCTTTCACCACATACCTGGAAGTTGTCATATACGAATTGCGTAACAAGGAAATGAATTTGGAAGCGAAAGAAACGAAATTGAATTCAAGTACAGTCAATAGCAAAAGCCAAACCAAAAGAAAATAAAAAAGAAAAACAAAACAGCAAACAGTAAACACAAAACTACTTCTTTCAGACTTCAATAAGCTTCAATTAAGTTGCGTGAATTAAATCAAATCGGCCAAAAAGCACTCAAAAACTGCAAACTGTGTGCAAATTGTACAAACATGATAATGTGACGAAACAGGGGTAGGCATGAATGCCAGTCTAAGTCATGATTTATAAAGCATTGCGTTGACCAATCAGCGTTGCGTAGAGCACTAGGTCTGGGCGCTTGCGGCGTGCTTAAAGCGCGCACAATCAGTTAGTGAGTTTCGCTGCTGGGTCGCAGAGTGGCAGGATCTTGGAGGACGCAGTCTACCGTTCTGTGCTGTGACTGTGTGAGGTATAGCGTGGACGCTGCACCTGGGGCGCTGCGTGTAGTGACTGTAACTGGTAGGTGTAGTAGCGAACCGTATTGGGTCTAGATTACTTTAGTGATAGAGCTGAGTGTCGTGAACCTAGGCTGGGAGCTAGTGGTCTTTGCTGTTTGCTGTTGATGTACTCAGATCGCTGTGAGGGTAATTTCCCTTTCGTTAGATCGACCCTGTTTTGCATGACACTCTGTGTTATTTGTGTGAGGGCTATCACTATTTAGTGAGGTAACCCTTGGGTTGTAGGCTAGCTGTGTTTAAGTTAGTCGTGAGGCATATTGTATTGACTTGTTAGGTGTATTGTGTACATAAACCTTGTGTGATTTATATACCTTATTGACTTTTATTGCAATAAATCAAATACTTGATTATTGTCCTTGGAAATCCTGTGTCACTGTGAGGTTTATTTAGGTTTCCCTGTGTTTCATTGCTGTATTGCCAGATGAATCCAGTCTTTCCTAATTGGTGGTAAACTTCCACCCAACGAACTGCCCCTAGGCTTAGTCCGCCGTTCGTTAACTGACATCCCCCCTTGTGTCAGGGTAGCCGCTCATCCTTGCTCAAGGTTAATAAATATATTTGTGGGGTTGGGCCAGGTCAATTCCATCCCTGATCCGGCCAGTTACTGGGTTCACCACAAGAGGTGTCAGTTGCATTCGCCACAATAACATAATCCAGGAAATATGAAGCGTATGCATTGAGGTTCTCCTTGTCACTGAAAATGACGTTTTAAACTGAATAAAAATCACTCCAGCACTTCAGGTTTCCCGCTAATAGAACGATCAGCGTTGCTCAGTAGCCATGCAAACTGTAAGGGTCGGTTCATATGGCAGGCGAGTGCAAAAGCGAAGTTGACGATTTGCAGGGAAATTTCGCTCGAATTCGCATTCGCACTAGCTTTCGCGTGAAGTATGAACCGGCCTTTAAGCAACCTTCTGCTGAACCATTATTTCACTCATTGGTAGCTATGAATATTACTCCATGATCGAAAAAGCCTGCCTGTCTTTCAGTTCCGCTGAAACTCAGTTAAAGCGTTATACGCCATGAGAGGACAAATTTGCGGGAGTAGGCACTTAATTTTCGCTTATTTTTCGACTCCGCTGGATTTTATACCTAATGACTCGACTCGACTTGACTCGAGTCACTACATCACAATGACTCCACTCAAGTCACAAAAAAATAGTTCCTAGTTCCTCCACTGTCCTTCGGACTGAAAATGCAGGAACCAACAGCGTGCAATAAGTGCACACAATAGGTATCAATATAAGTACCATTCCATTTCCCCAATCTGCAATTTTTAAGAGTATCAAGACATTATGCATCAAAATTCAAAGGTACACTAACGACTCAATCAAATCCAGAGAAAGTCAACACACACACTTCAGACTAATTTTACGATCGCATTATAAATGCAATATGCTACTACTGATTTAGCGGAACCTTTAGAATCAGCATGGGGCGCAATGACAGGCTCAGCGGTGAGTTTAAACGACCCATCAGTAGCACCTCTCTCAACTGCCATTCTATGCGCACCATCTTCATTTGAATTAACCGACTAATTGCAGCAAATTGGGAATCAAGCATCGCAACGACAACAAGCTTAGCTCTGACCTCAACTATCTCACCAGCAGCACGTATGACAAGCTCCATGACAATTTTCATCCCGTCTACAGTATCGTCGCTTTCATCAACTGAAGCGACATCACAATGGCGCTCAATCACAACAAAACCGACAAGCCCGGCTTCGACTTCAAACTGACGCACCATCAACACCTCTGGCAAGTGCTGTGACAACTATCATTCCATCTTCCCAGTCATTGCTTCCATCAACTGAGGTGACAACAGAATATTAGTCAACCTCAAAGACATCAGAAAGCCCAGCTTGACTTCAGTCAACCCATCATTAGCACCTCTGTCAATTGACAACTGTCAATCTGTATACCTCATCCTTTCTTTCATCAACCGATGAGGCTAACAATTGGGTATCAAGCGCAAGGACAACGGCAAGCTCAGGTCCGAGCTCAACCAGCGCAACTGACACACCAACAGCACTTATAGCAGACACCATGATTACTGTCATTCCGTCTACGGTGTCTCCACTATCAACTGAAGCGACACCACATTGGCTGTCAACCACGGAAAGCACGGAAACAGAAATGAGCAGTACAGGTCCCAGTTCAGCTGACCCATCAACAGCACATCCGACCGCAACGACATTGCTAAGCTCTGCCAGCCGATCAACAGCCTCTCTTACAACCACCATGACAAGATTTGTCCTGTCTACGCCAGCTTCTCTTGTATCAACTAAGGAAAACTCAAATTGGCAGTCAACTGCAACGACAAAGACAACTCCAGCTTCGAGCTCAGCCTACTTTCAACAACACCGTGAGAACGACAGGTGAGAATGAAATGACGTCTAATGCAGAACTGAAGGTACTCCATTACCCCTTCCCTTAGGGGCCGTCAATAAAGTATGTACGCACGAAATGCCGACTTTCAGACCCCTCCCCCTTCCTGTAAACATGACGTACGAAATGGCTCCAACCCCTCCATATGCATACGCATTCCACAATATCTTTTGACTTCTCAGGGTACTTTGCTTTAGCATCGTTAATAAATTTTTCAGTACATTGTACATAGATTGTAGTGCTGTTATTCGCACGTCACTTCCACATTCTTAAACAAATGACCAAAGAAATAACAGGTTTTTATATCGGTATTTCTTTATTATTGGCGCGACTTGGCAGCTTAAACAAGATGTTGAACAAAAGCAAAAAATACTCCTGGTGCCTTTTATTCTCCTATATGCAGAGGCATGTAGAGGTCACCTATATCTTTTGCGGGAGACGCCGGTAGATAGTGGGTTGGACGGTGCAGGATGCTGTGTTTGAATGGTTTTTCGACGTACAAAAGCTGATTCTGGTATCTTTTGTGTGAGAAAGTGTATTCATATGATTAAAATTCTTCAAAGACAAATTTTCGGTTTGCGTACGATACGCACTGGCTGATACCCCCTCACCCTCTGTACGCACGGTGTACACAGCAACACAACCCCCGACCCC